GTGTGCAAGGACTTGGTGTATATATTGTCAGCCAGTCATGATCCTTGTATATGATTTGGAACACAGGGTCTAGGGGTGTTAAATGGGTGGGTTTGGGTATTAATGGGCAGGCCATAAATGGGCGGGCCATAAATGGACCATTTGCCCATTTATGGCCCATTTAACATTTTCTAAATGGGCGGGTTTTTGCCCGCCCATTTAATAAACGGGCCGCCCATTTGCCCGTTTATAAATAGTATTTTTGGGATATTTTTTATAGTAGTATATATATAGTACTTTTGGAGTATTTTTTATAAATTTTAGGGGGCTTTTCGCAAACTATTGGTGGCTTTTTGTAAACTTTTTAGGGGCTTTTCGTAAACTTTTTGCACCCCCCCCCAAAAAAAAAATTTGTACTTCTCACAATGCATATCCAAAACCTATACAGCCCCAGCGCTAATATTGTTGTTCGTTTTAAAAGGGACCTACGTTTGAATTCCCCTTTAATCATAGCATTATTCACATGGCTTGCAGAATCAGTGAACAATAACATTTTTTTCATGAAGAATACACTGCAATTGAAACAAACAGATATAGAATTTCAACCTACTTCAAAAATGTAAACCAATAATCAAGAAAAAACTTACCCTGGCTCTTTTCAAACTACTACAAAAGTCTAAAAGTTATTTTAACAATTATAACCACTACTCATCATAGCTCAACATTTCATCTTTAAATAAACTTGCTCAGTTTCTAATCAAGATAAGAACCAACGAGGTAAATCTCAAAATTTCATTAACAACATAAAAAACTAGAGCACCAAGTCATTGTCACACATGCTCTAGTTTGGTAGCAACATAAATAAACTAGAGCTCAACATTTCTTCCATTTGATAAAATGGGATCTGCACAAGTTATAGCTCGAACAGGAAAAACTACTGAGTCACAATCTACTGGATTATCAGTATTCTTATTTGGCATTTGCAATGAAAGAAGATCTTCAGTAAATGTTTCTGTGACAGCTGTATCCTCTTTAGAAGCAATAAATAAGCTTTTATAAGTGCTACATCCATCAGAGCACTCATTATCAACAGGCTGAAAACAACAACATGAGACATGAGTAAGTATGAGACAAGTTTGGTTTATGCAAGAAGGGACACATTGATTATACAAGAAACCAGTGGATACGAGAGAGGAACTTTAGCTCTCTTCTTATCCCGCGTTATATATATTGTATCAAATTTGTGATGGCAGATTCCTTTGACAACAACCATGAACCATGCTCTAACAGTTTTTGGAATCTCAGTGTTAGCTTTAGATGAATAACACAGTTGAACAAGCAATGTAAATATGTGAATTATCTCTTAGAGTTGGGTGATGCAGACCAACCCATCCACAGAGTTAGACAGTTTGTAAGTCGAGTGGTCGTTACGGAACTGGGGTTTGAAATCAAAAGAGCCATGCATGAAGCTCAACACTTACTTCAGAAATCAACGTATTTAATTTACACAATCAAATGAATAAAGCCATGTTAACATTTCCCCCAAAACACGAACTTTTTTAACATAAAGCTATCAAAATATGTCCATGAACAAACCTGAAGGCAAACAGAACAGCAAATTTTCTCTCCAGAGTCATCAACAATGTTCTCCTTCGAAATCATACTATAATAAAAAATGACTGACTTTGGTGTGGTCTTCGTTAGATATCAGTCAATACCATTGCTTGTGATTTAATACCCCTCTTGTTCGCTGGCTTCAGATTACAAAGAACACAAACCTTTCGATCCTTCACAATTGGCGTTGTAATAGAATTTTAGTAAAGAACGAGAAATACAAGGTAATGCTTAATAAAAATATTAGAAAAATAACAAGGTAAGAGGAAAAATACCTGCATTTCTTCAAGGGGGATGTATTTGACAAGGCCACTCACAACTGTCCTAGGCAACTCCTCACCTATATCAATCTCTTCCACGTCCATTTCATTTCTGTGCCAACCTAAACAAAGTTCTTGCCTTTCAAAGTGCTATATTAGAACATACAAGAAGATTCTAAGAGAAATTTTATAACAGGTAGTGCAAGAATCGCGATAGGAAACAAGGAAATGCATAGTAGTTGAGAAAGTCCGAGCTGCCTTGTATTGTGTTTTCATTCTCCTAAGAGAAAGATAATAACTGCTCAATATCAATAACAATAACATCAATATCAATAACATACAAACACAGCCTTGTGCACAAAAGCAGGACATGAATTCAACTCAAGTGAAAAATTCAGAAGCAATTTCAGAACAACATGACAATGAAGAAATTGACATCCAGTGAAATGTAAGAAAAAGGAACCCGATCCAAATAAGATTTCTAAAATGATAAAATTGCTCAGTGAATTACAAACACATTAATATGCATACAATCAATAGAGAACCAACCTGTACACTATAAACAATAGCAATTGATAGGGAATCATTACTTCAGGTCGGAACATAATTTGATAAAAGCCAATTCAGTTCAACAAAATTTCACCCAAAAGGGGAAAACCTAGGATTCTAAAACCCTTCTTAAATAAAAGGACGATAACTGTCCAAAATCATCAAATTTTCTACTAAATTGAGACACCCAAACGGGAAAATGGTCCAATTTCGAACAAAAAAGTTCTAAAATGACAAATTTATATCATCCAAAACTGAGAAATTTAGGGGGGGGGGGGGGGGAATGAAAAAAGAGAAGATGGGCGACGAACTGTTAGGGTTGGCGACGAGTGAGAGGAGAGAGAGAACGAAGAAAGGGATTTGGGTTTGCAGAGAGGATCCGTGGCGATGAGAGAGAGACGAGGGAACGAGAGAGGGAGAACTGGATCGCGAGGGTTATTTCACTCGGGCGGGTTTATGGGCAGCCCAATGCCCGCCCATTAAGTGCCCTTTTATCCTCTATTCAATTCATACCCGCCCATTTAGACCCATTTAACTAAATGGGTGAGTTATAGGCGGGCTAAATGGTGGGGGGGCTGGGCGGGCAATTGGGCATGGGTCATAATTGCCATGTCTAACAGGGTCTGACAATATCTTTCTTAATTGTTTTAACCATGTTCTTTTGGGCCTAACTCTAGTCTTTTGTGCCCTATTAACTATTACTTTATCAGTTCTGCTGAGGGTGCATTTAGTGGGCTTCATTGTATATGATATGGCGTTAATCTATTCTCTCTCATTGTATCCAGATTAATGAATATTAAAATTACATTATAATTCTTGTATATCTTTGTTGTGGTTGTGGCAGTAGTGATGAGCTTAGGAGACAACCAAATTCTACGTACGAGAATAGAATTTTGGTGAGCTATGATAAATGATAAGCCTGTTATGTTTACAGCAAGCCCTTGTAATTTGAAGTGTTCTAGCACAAGAACGTAGTTAAGCTTCTATGATGTCACTTATACCTTAGAGCCCACAGAACAAGCGAATCTGTGTATGGATGTTCTGTAGCTTCTGGACAAATGGACTTCAAAATCTAATTTTACCTATTCGCGGAATCTTAGATCAGAAAAGAAATTAGATCTTATAAATGTAAACCATCAAAGAAATCACATATCATGCCTGTCTGAATGTGCTTTATTCTTAACAAGTGATTGATGTTATTTCCTGCAGATTGCAACTGGACCTTGAAGCATCAACGAAGCAGGCTATTTTTGTTGGTTCCAGCATCAGCGATACAATTAGAACATGTATCGTACTAGGCAATGAACGAGCGGCGATGAGAGTGCGGGCAGAATTCAAGGTTGGTTTCATATTTATGGTTTGTCTTTTTGGATGTCTTATTCTTATGATGAAGCCTTCGTTCAGGTGTCAGAGAAGAGATGGTACTGGCTAAAGGCATTTGCACTGGCTACAGCGAGGAATTGGGAGGCTTTGGAGAAGTTCTCCAAAGAGAAGAAACCACCGGGTGGTGAGATATCCAGTTCTATATTTTCTGATGATAATTTAGGGTTCAATAGCTGTGCATTCGGAGGAACAAGTCCTCCATTAATGTCCTTTGCGGTATAAGAATGAATGAGAATCAAATTGATTCCCAGCATCACGTTAAGGTTACATGTATTTGTACCACCAATGTATCATATGGAAGCATAATAACAAATTGACAACATTAAAATATGTATTTGTCTCCTATTTAAGTTTACTTATCAATACAAGCTATTATAGGAACATTTATCTTTTTTTTGGGGGGTGATGCAAACAGTCGTGATCGTGTGTATTTTTTTTTGTTGTTTTAACTAAAGGTTTTAAACCATTTGTGGAAGCATGCATCGATGCTGAAGAAAAAACTGAAGCTCTCAAATACATTCCGAAACTCACAGATCCTGGAGATAAGTCACAGGTGCACTTTTCATTCTCTTACCTAAGTTTAACATATTCTTACTAATGTTGGAACTGTTAGTTTACTAGCTGTTAACTTGTTCCTTCTAATGTTGAAGTGTAAGATTAATTGCTGTTATGTCTGAGATTAAAGCAGGCCTTTGCACGCATTGGTATGGATAAGGAAGCTGCAGATGCTGCAGCTCAAGCTAAGGACAGCGAATTATTTGGCCGCTGGAAATTGAATTTAGCCCAAAATTCTGGCACTGCCTCCATTTTGGATACTCTGCGAGATCGCTTATCTTTTCAAGGTGTTTATTAATTAGCGTGACAACTTCATGGTGATGTATATAGATAATTTGTGCTGTTATGGTGCCTTTTTCTGCCATCAGTTTCATGTTCGAGATAAGTATAATTCATTTTGTTCTGGTTTACTTTGCTTTTCTCGGCAACTTTCTGTTGCAAATTAGATATTCAAAATGTATCTCAGTCATCTTGAATTCTGAGTGAAATTGTTCAACTGTGAGCTTATTTTGTACTAAACAGTTAATAATAGCCTGTTAGTTTCTAGAGTTCGTGAGTTCTCAATGTACTCATAATGGATATGATGTTAGTTTCTGCCATAGCATGCATGATCAACCTTATCAGGACTATAAAACAAGTCAGTAGCACTTGCTCACTTTTTGGGGGAAAAACACATGCAGCTTTACTGATGAGCTAAAGACGTACTGAAGCTTAGATGCTCTCCATTCTTGTAAGGAGCTCTTTCCTTCATTTTGCTTTCTCCTGTATTACTCATTGTGTGTTCTTGGTGTGTGCTGATTCATTTTGATAATTAATCCTCGTTGGAGTAAGATCTTAATCATCCTCTTAAGTTCTCTTTCATGGTTTTCTTTTTCAATGTTGACTGTATTTATGGGTTTTGGTTCAATTTTTTGTTTCGTTTAAGAGTAATAAACTCATTATAATAGAAATTACATTTTAAAAGATGAGGACGCTTGTCATCTCGTCTCGATGTTCATCCAAACAATTTCCCCCCCTTAACCCTATCATGGGAAAAACAGCGCAAGACAAAAATTTTCAAGGAGAACTTTATTCGGTATATCCTCAAAGCTCAAATGGTAGACGATTACACAACACGAAACTGAATCCTAAAATGCAATTGAGATGGACCTGAACCCAATAACAGAGCACAATGGGAACTATACTTTGGATGCATTATTAGCCTCACGTAGGAAATCACTGAAAGCAGCATCATAAACCAAACATATATAACCAACAGCTGATTGATCATGATGTTCGGCTCGGCGCCTACCACTGTTGTTTAGCTCTCGTTTTCAGACAGAGACTCTGATTACTTTCCCTTGAGACTGGGATAGACTGAGTGCTCATACTTCCCATCCCATCTGTAAATTAGCATCCACTTCATTAGCACAACAAAAGAAGAAAAAGCAAGCTGGGATTTTTCTGAAGTAGTCTTTTTTACAAAAAAAAAAACGAAAGAAATAACCTGCGAGCTTCGTCCTCAGCTGGTATTGGGAGTTCCAGTTCAGTACTAAATGGCTGAAAAGCGAGGTCAATCTTCTCATTGGCCACTTCTCCGAGTTTAGATGGTTCCCACTGATTCAGTGTATTGAAAAATATGAGATTATGCTCGGACTCACAACTTCACACTGATTCATTCTTAAGATGAATATGGTTACCTTAGGGGCATTATCTTTGTCTATGGCAAGGGCTCGAATGCCCTGAAATTGCAAAATGGAACATTTAGGGATCTCATATTTGCGTAATCGGTTAGAAAAATAATAAAAGGACCGTTCAATACCTCATACACATCACCAGAGATCTTAGATCTTAGCAGGTTTATAGTAAGTCTGTACTCTTTCTTAAGGCATTCAGGTAGAGTTTGCTTCCTCCCTTCTCGGATCTGAGAAAAGATGTACAGAGCAAAAGCCTAATTATATATTTCATATTTTATAATATATATGCAAGTGAAAAAAGATTAGATGCAGTTCAAGTATTTTGGAGTAGTTGTGACATGTATGATGTTAAGTTACCGATCTTAAAGTTATCTTCAGCCCAGTTGGTGATGATCTCTTTAACCCTTTGAGAACCGGGATTATCCATTCATTTCCTTCAGTTCTTGATTCATCTTCCTGCAAAACAAACCGACTATGTTACACTATCACAGAAGCAATTGTCCTTCGTGTATCAAACCTCTTACAATTTTGTTGTTAGGAAAACCTCTTGTAGTATATTCTTTGTTGTCGAATAAATTTAATCATCATGATTATGAAATTCATAGCAATATACAGAAAGCAATGAAGAAAGGCCAGGGAGCATAATGCACAAAGTCTAATTTTCATTTTAAACTGCACTATTCTTGCAGACATTTCGGTGTGGAGCTAAATTTAACCATGAATATGAAACAACAGGTGAACTCACAAATGATGCAATAATCTCCTCCACAGATTCCTCCGAAAAACACTTGTTTATTGTTTGAAGCCTACAATGATAAACATAGACTTGATTAGTCAAGATGATGCACCATCTCTATTCTCAGATTCCAATGGTTCAGAAGCTTACTTGTTTAAGATACTTTCTTCATCAGGGTGGACGCTTAGAGAGAATTCCTCGATTACAGATTGTACTGCAGTCTTGTCACCTGAATTCAGACTCAATAAACGCTTCTCCAGTTCTTCGAGTTTCTGTTATACATGAAATATATCATTTTGAGTCCAAAATCCTTCTGATAATATGGTTGAAGTAGATTATACTTAAATCGATATTTCACCAGAATATAGGTCAAGATGGTTGATTGCTACCAGCATTACTTAAACTCTAAAGGTGGTTTTTGTATTGTTAATGTTATCCCGTTTTAAAGATGGTTTCTGTGAAAAAAACCCTGATAAATATGTAATGGAGATACAGGATAGGTAACTGTATGCATTAATCACACCCTTTTCTGACAGTATGAAGCTAAGTAAATATTGCACAGGAGTGCACTCTCTCAAAGATCCTGCGCTAAGTGATAGCACGAAGTAATACTGGTTCTAGGCATTCCTTATTTTTATCAACAACATATGACATTCTAGCGGCGGACATCACAGTCTTTGTCGACATGTTATATACAATAAAGATAAGTTTTTTTCAATTTTCTCTTCCCTTTTTCCATCTCCATCAAATATTTCTTACCTCAGAGGGAACAAAATGAGTTGCAAGACCAGCAGAAATCATCTCTTTTCCATTTAGCCTTGCACCAGTCAAGGCCAAATATTCCCCTATGGATTCATCAACAAATTGCCAGCTTAAATAAGAGATGAAAAAAGTAAATTAAAAGTAAAACCCCATACTTTCTAACAACCTGCTGATTCCCCCAATACAAATGTAGAGAAAGGCAACACAGTTATTTACTTTTCTTGATGTCCCTGATTAATTCCCTTTTTTCAAATTGCAAATAACCCCTCTTACAGCTCCACATAGACACTTTTTACGATAACCCACTGTTCCTTGCAACTGAGGGGCGATAAGTGCTGATAAATAAGTCGAGGAAATACCTACTACTGAAGGTATAAATGAGAGGGGCTATTTGCAATTGACCCTTCTTTGAAATGGTACTTTGCATAAGAACCCAAGGGATTCATTTTACTTTATTGGGTACATCATATACCTAAATGCCCTGGAAGGCGCGAGAAAATGTAAGAGAAGCTGCAGTCAGTATGAAGTCCAATACTTGCTTCAGGCATAGCAAAAACCTGCACACACAAAAAAAAAGGGCAAGAATCTCAATAAGACCACTAATCAGAAAGATGAATATGGAAACTAAAGCATATATTATTTGAAAAATATATGCAATGGAAAACTTTGCTGATATGTCTACATATTTGTGTAACTCATTACACATACCGCCTTCTCTGTCACAACTGAGAAAGTCGATGGAACAACCAGTACTCCACCACCACCCATAACAATTCCATGAACAAGGGCAACCTGAAATTGGATCAAATCTAGCACTATTTAGCTTCAAATAACACAAATGACAGTAAGAATTTTATGAAAGAAAATCAAGAGTGTTACCGTGGGCTTCTTATATGTGTGTATATGATAACATAGCCAATACATTCGATACACAACCTCAAGACAAGCATCCTCAACTGATAAGAGAAAAAAATAATCTATTACGAATACAATCTAACTGAAAATACAAAACAATCAAATCTTTTCCTGATATCAATCATTATTAACCTGATTTCCCCTCATAGAACATCTTTAGATCACCGCCAGCGGAAAATGCACGTCCAGCCCCCTAAAGGTAATTTATAAAGTAAAGAACGCATAAGATAAAATTTTAAACTTACTATCAACATGAGAACCCTGTAAATATGCAATTTACCTTAAATATCACTAGCTTTGCATCATCATCTTTTTCCCATTTTTCTAGAAAACCACCTAGCAATTTAACCTGCCAGTCAAACAAATTTCTCAATCCAAAGTTCATCACGTCACATTTTTCACAAAAAAATATGTAATTTTTTACTTAGGATTTAGGTTTACCACTTTGGATGAGATAACATTCAATTGGCGAGGCCGGTTTAAGGTGATCGATCTAACATGCCCTCTCTCTTCTCCAAGAACAACCTGAAGAGAGTCGCGGTTGCTCAAAAATCCTCACTTACCCGAATCCTATAACTAAAAATGGAAGGAAAATATATAGAAAATCTTGTACCTCTTCTGGGTTTAGGGGCTCTTGAGCCATTGAAAGCAATCAATAGAGGAAATTGATCGAGCTGCAAATCGAACATAACCCAAGTCAAGAAATATTACAATTTGGACATAAATCAAATTGCAAATAAAAGAAAAGATAACGAGATTACCCTTAAAAGAAATTGAGTGAAGAAATTCAACGTTGTGCTCTCCTAAGGTATTAATTTCTGAGTGATGAAATAGGAAATAAAGAGGTGGGCGGTGGTAGTTGGAAGCAATGGAAGTCGTTGGTGGGTAGGTGGGATGTCTGCACGCACGTGTCGTTCACCAAGCAAGATGGCCGTAGTGAAGAGATATGCACCGTTGGATTCCTACTAAATCTTTATTTGGACGGTGGATACTTAAGCAAAGATTGTTTCGTTGTCAATGAGGATGAGAGCCGACGAAGGCCTTGCTTACCGCCTGTGTTTATGATTTTCTTCTGTAGCAAGTTGAATTCCAGTACGTGAGATTGACCAATTTGTCTCAAAAAACGTACTTTAATGAGCTAACTTGTAACTTCAATGTAAAAATACCAACAGAATAGCCATTTTTCGCTCATCGAGTTGATGATTTGTTGTTTTGAGAGGCATTTATTAAAAAAGCTGGCGATTTAAGGATATATTGCAAATACTGAGATTTAAGTCATAATGCAAATACCCACAATTTATGGGGTATATAGACAAAAATAAACAGCGAAAAAAAAATTCTTCTGAATTTTAAAAAATTTATCTGCTGCATATAAGTAGATTATTTTCAGCGTAGGGAGAATTTATTTTTCATGGTCCATAATACGGCATAAACATGTACCAAAAATGTTGCAAGTGCACAACCGTGTCAAGTTATAGTATAAAGATATCGATCCACGAAGAATGTGTTTTGTAGGAGAAAATATAAAATCGGTTCTTATGTTGTGTGCGTGACAAAAAGGAGTGATGAGTGAATGTGATTGTGGAGAGATGGAGAGAATGAAAATAATTGTGTAAATGAATATATTTGAGAGTGAAAGTGATAATATAAATGTGATCAACAAGGCAAGAAGGAAAAATCAAGAACAAATAAAAATCAAGAATGTAAAGATAGCGGATTCAATTAAAGATATGGGTAATCTAGAATTGAATCCACTTCTTAGAAAAAGATGATTCCCTAGAGGGTTCTAGCCTAAAGGCGAATCAAAAAAAATAAAAATAAACAAAAAGAAAAACTAAACCCAAGAGGATTCTAGCCTCAAGGTGAATAGTACAAGAAATTAAAATCTAACTACAAAATAAATTACAAAATCTAAACTATAAAATAAATTACAAGAATTAAATACAAGAAAATAAATCTACTCTATAAGCATAAAATAAATCTAATTTATAAGCATGAAATAAATCTAAGGCAAGAGGGTTCTAGCCTCTTGGTTATTTAAATAAGAAAATAAAATCTAATTACAAGCATGAAAATAAATCTAAACTAATAAGCAATAAAAAAGAAATAAGAAAAAAAGACCTTCAAATTAATCTTCATATTCATCTTCATCTTCATCATCCAACAAAGAGAAGAAGAGAAAATTTTAAAATGGTGAAAAAATTATTTTATTAATTATAACAAAAAGTTACAAATTTGGAAGGCCTTCTCAATTAAGAGTAGCCATCCTTTCCAAAAGAAGTTACAAAAATTTTTACACCTCTAACCCCTCACTCTCAACCCCTATTTATAGTAAACATCAGTGAATGAGAGCCCTTAGATCAAACTTGAGCCCCAAGAATGTAATTTCGGCCGTTGATGAAATTTGGATGACTTCGCATCGATACAGGCATCGATGCCCGCATCGATGCTCCAATAAAAATTCTGCCTTCACGGTTGGTTTCGTCTCGTCAAGATAGACGATTTTTATATATTATATGTTAAATTCCGCCTTCCGGATTAGGAGATATCGTCATTTCTTTGCGGCTAACTATCTTGAATACATTTTTTTCATATTTAATTTTTTTATTTTCTCCGGCTTCTACAGGCTACTCGGCTTGATTCTGGGCTTGGGCTTTTTGACTCTTGCTTGTGTTCTTCATTTAATTCATGGGTTTTTGTTGAGATAAGAGATCTTGGGCTTTATTCTTCACTAACCTGTAATTAAAGATAAAAACAATTATTAATAGCATATTTATTCATATAAAATAGATAATGAGGGTATAAAATTATAATAAAAATATAATTATCAAATACCCCCACACCTAAACTTTTGTTAGTCCTCTAGCAACGAAAGAAAAATAAAATAAAATCTAACTCACTTTCGCAGGAATCGCAGTTGTATTTAGCGCATACAACAAGCCTTTAAACCCCTAGGTTACCCTAGTGGATGAGTTGTAGTTTTGTGAGGGTTTGTAGTGAATATACCCATAAAATTTGGTCTACTTACCAAATTAAAAAAGTCAGTAAATAACTAAATTCACTTGATAACTTTAGACAATCTAATTGAAGCTAGTTATCACTCAAGAAAACGTTTTTATAAATAACTTGAAGGTAAATTTCCTAGAAAATCTTCTCATTATAGCAATACAAAACCAAAACAAACTTAGAAATTTAATTTAAAAGTTTTGAAAAGAACATGCTAACTCTTTGTTTAAAATAATATTCAACTTGCTTGATCTAAAATATTTTCCAAGACCATATATACAAATATAACTAAAACATTTATTAGTATTTTTGCTTAGGTCATTAAGTATGGAAATACTCCTTGGGCTTAATTACTCGGTCAACTTAGACTTTATAAGATAGAATCACCTTGAATTTAAGAGTTTTTTTTTCTTTTGGTGCTCATTTTTCGCACTCTTCTTTTGTAATTTTTTTTTATATGTATATGTATATATATTCTAAAAAATATGTAAGTCAAGACACTTTGAAAAATTATTTTTAACTCTATGCTAAGCATGCATAAATTCCATTATTTTAAATAAAAATCTAAGTTAATGCTTAAGTGAAGTATACTACTTTAAAAATTATTTCTTGAGAAATTTATTTAGAGTTATCATAAAAGGTAAACTTGAGTAAATAACAAACTAGAGATTAGAAAATTTAAAATTTATCAAATAAATCAATTATTACATAACTCTATCAATTTGGCAAGTGACGATATTTTTATAAATTTTTTTTAAGGAAAAGGAAAAAATGACAAAAATGCAACTAAAATATAAAATAAAGAGAAAAAATAAGTAATTCCCACCCCCACATCTAAATTTTGCATTGTCCTCAATGCAACTCTATGATGCACAAAGTAAAATAGATAAGAAGTGAAGTACTTATATTTGATCAGCTGATAAAAATCTACAATTACCTTTGGTCTGAGGAGGATGGACTCAAAAATTTATTATTCTCTTCTTTTTTCTGTTTTTTTTACAACTGAACAAGAAACTCTCAAATGAGAGAAGAATAAATTCTTTTTATTATTCTGAAATAAACAAAACAAATAATACAGAATGAAGTGTTCAACACGAAGAGCTCGTATTCTACATTGAATCCTACCTTATTGTTAAAAATTCTTTCTCGGATTTTAAATAAATTCAGAATGATATAATCAATAATGTGAAATTCTAAGCATTTCGGGGTGTTCAATAATTCTTGCAACAAAGTAGGTAGGTATTATTAGTGTCATGCATTTTGTATTTCTTAATGAACTTAGACTCTTGTACTGTGAAGTTTTGTTTTCTAACAAACAATTCTTCTGTAGAGTTCTGAAAATTTGGTTGTTGATTATTCTCCAAGAATCTAAGTTCATCAAGAAAGAGTTCTTCAAAATTTAATTCAAAGTAGCAAATGTTTAACACGGTTTTATTATTCTCAAGGACCTGATCTGCTTCTTCTAAAAACTCAAACTCTTCGTCAAAAAATTCCTCAAAACTCAAATCAGACTCTTCTTCTTCTTCTTCTTCTTCTTCTTCTTCTTCTGACATTTCCTGAATATAATTTATTTCTAGAGGCTGATTATTTGGTTGGTCCCCTGAATTAAAAATGTTGAGATCAGCAGTCAAAGTCCCAAAGGACAGCTTCATTTGACCAGTTCTACAGTTGATGAGAGCATTAGAAGTGGCTAAGAAAGATCGTCCTAAGATGACAGGTGTATGTCCTTTGGGATTAGAAACAAGCTGTGTTTCCAAGACTACAAAATCTACTAGAAAAATAAAATCTCCAACCTTAATCAGAACATCCTCTAACTCACCCATAGGGACCTTAATAGATCTATCAGCCAACTGTAAGTTGCATCTGGTTAGGTTCAGTACACTGTAGGCGTCAAAAATTACCTATAGGTTCCCGAATATAGCTCGAGACAAAGAGAAAGCGATAAGCGTCATCATTCAAGTCAGGAAAGGATTATCCGGTCCCGTGGAAGCTAACAAATATACAAAGTGAGTCATTGGAGTGTACAAGTCAACGGAATGACGAAATGCGCAATACAAATCCGGAGAAGTCAGAAAGTGTCAAACACCTCAAAGTGGCCTGCACAAAAGATTGACATTTTGACCATGATACAATTTAAAGCTGGAAAAATTCAAAAGACAAAAGTTGAAGGTCTCTTCGTCAGCTTTCTAACGCATCTTGAATCATCTCATTCTGAGGTCGGATGAGTGAGTTAAGGCCGCTATAATACCGCGTTACAGTAACAGCATACCCGCGCTACAGTAGCCGCGGGTCGGATTTCTGCTACCAGTAACCACGGCGCTCGAATTCTGCTTACAGTAACCGCGGGCGTCGGGTTTTTAGCTACCAGTAACCGCGGGGGTCGCAATTTCTGCTACAAATTTAAGCCGCCGGCGGCGGTCTCGGGTTTCTGCTACAGTAACCAGTGGTGGCGAATTTCATGCTACAGTTAACCACGTTCGGATTTTTTACCCTGCCTACAGCTAAACACGCGCGCTACAGGCACGGGTCCCGGACTCAGTCCGCACCCGCTGCCCCCCGCGGGACGGATCCGTCCGCCGCGCTGTTTTGACCCGAAAACACGTTTTTAGGCTGTTTCGATCGGTTTTTTATGTTCCAGAGGTTCCTAACTGACTTGATATCATTCACAAACATGGTTAGGCCATTATTGACTGAAGATAAGGCCAAATCACTCATTCTCATCCACATACCCGCATCCGGAGCCCTATAAATACAAGCCTAGGGCCTCCTTTCAGAGGGGGATTAATTATCAAGAGGAGGAGGTGCTGCCGGATTGAGTCAAAGGAGCACGAATTTCAGCGAGGGTTGATAGATCTTG